CTTATGCAACAGGTATTATCAGTATGTTCATTGTACAGATACCTGAAGCACAGAGGGGTGAGTGGCTTGCTGAAAGGCCAAAACCAAGCAGTCGGTTCCAGAACCCGTCTTTCTTACTACTAATAGATCACCATGCATTCAGCTGTTTTAAAAAATGAAATAGCCCCATGTGTCCTGGCATGGAATGATGTCAGAGAGATACTTTTAAATGAAAGAAGTTGAAAAAATAGAGCATAATTCCATTTTAAATGGTAACATATTAGTCTACCCATAGAAAACAACCTGAAAGATGATGACACAACCATTAAGATATTTAACTCTCTACTTTGTACATGCCTATAAATATTTGGATGTTTTTTACAATGAGCAAACGTAATGTGAGGGGGAAAAAAATCTTTGCTAAAGGACAGTCCTGTTAGCATTGCAGCTGCACAATCAGATCCTGATTTATCTCCCCAGCTTTACATCCCACTGGTCTCCATCCTTTATTCCCCAAATACGCCACCTTCTTTCCTATCTCTGCTCCTTTGTGCTTGATGTTCCTTTCACCTGGGATGCAAATAAATGGACAGCCGTTGGGTGGTCTCTTTCCAGGCCTGACTGAACTATCGCCGCCTCTTCAGGGAAACCTTGCATCAGGAAGTTGAGCATCTCTTCTTCAGGATTCCAATAGCACTTGGCATGTTACATTATAATCACCATCTAGTCCCATTTCCTCTTCTATACCACATTCTGACCTTTTCTGAGGACAAATACTACCAATTGTTTTTCTTTATATCTGTCCCAACTGCAGGAATAGTGCTTGTCACATCACAGACATTCAGTAACTATTTCAAGAATGAATGAATGAAGGCAGTATTAAGTGAATGTCAAATAGCATGGCATGATTTAAAGAGCACTTTCTAGCTAGTCTAAGAGATATTACAAGGCAGTGCATGATTAATTGCTGAATGAGTCATATACCAGTAATTGCTATAGAAATCAGAGGAGGTGTCTTAATACATCTTATACATCTTTGTATATCCCCCAGAGCACCTCACATGGTGACTTGCTCATGGTGAAAGTTCAGTAAATGCTCTGTGAATGAATAATCGCTGCTTTTGAATCAAGTGATGATGGGCAATTGAAGAACAAGTAGTGTAAGTGCTGAATTAAGATGGATGAATAGTTTCTTGCTTAAACAGCCATCACCAGCCCCACAAATTGAGTCAGTAAGCTTTTGCTATGTGTGGGGAGCACTGGATTGGTAATTGCTTGGGGATGGGGAAGACACAAGAAAAGGTATATTCATTTGGGGAGTGCTGACTTAAAACCAGGAAACGTTACATATACAACAGAGAACGGCATAACAGTGTACAAAAAAAATAACTGCACAAAATGTGACCAACTGTGCAGATGTTCCACAGGCAAAAGAGCAATGGGCAAGGAGAGAAGAGGAAACCCTGTTTTGGTGGAGTATTTGGGAAAATATAATGGTGGGAAGAGCATGTAGGGCCATTAATCCAACAACTATTTATTGAGCATCTACTATGTGCCAGGAACTTTGGTAGGTACTAGAAAATATGATAAATGACTTTAGGTGATAAACGTTTGATAGCAGATACGGAAAAAAGGAATAAAGTAACTGATTAGAGGAAAAGAGTGTGGCTTCAAAGATCCTTGGAATCTGACGACCTCAAGGCTCAGAAGCAGAACTCAGGAGCATTATCAAAATCAGGGCTGTTCTGTCACACTGGGGAGTGGAAAATACTGACACATCTTATTTTACCAGTTTCTTCATCTAGATTATTGACCTCATTCCCCTAATACCAATAAGTGGGGTGGCGGGGAATGCCATTGAACAGAACCATGCCCCCCCCCCAGCTGTACAGCCTCTTCTATGGTAGTTCTAATAAGACTCAATTGGTTATAGAGTCTGTGATCAGTAAATGATCCAGAAAACTGCAATTTCAATCTTTTTTTAAAAAAATTTTTATTGATTTTTACAGAGAGAAGGGAGAGGGGAGGGAAAGAAGCATTGATGCAAGAGCGGCACATCCACTGGCTGCCTCCCACCAGGAATTGAGCCTACAACCAGGGCATGTACCCCAATTGACAGGGAATCAAACCAGCAACCCCTGGGTGCCCAGGACAACGCCCAAGCAACTGAGCCACACCAGCCAGGGTCACAATTTCAATTTTTTATTCTCGTTCTTAATAAACGATCATCCAAAGTCTTGGTCTACAAATGACAACATGTCTTCTGATTTCCACCCTCAGCTACCTTTTCTTGGAAATTCTATTCCTTCTTTCTTGCTAGTTATTCTGGGGTGAGCAGTCCTTCTATTGCTATTACCATCTTTCACCTCTACCTTTTCTGTTATAGCTGAAAGGTTCTAGGTACCAAAGAACTTTATCAGTGGCCTGATTTCTTTTCTTTAGGAAGCAAACACTGAAAAACATTTGGTTCTTAGACTGAACAGAACTAAGGCTGTTAATTTCTTTGTTCTGTTTCCATTTCACTGTTTCTCACGCATATAAAAAAGCTGATCTGGTACAACAACGACACAGGGCAAGAAATAGCAGCTGCCACATAATAAGATCCCTTGCCAGTTAGGTGGTGACTCCAGTAAGGTGCCAGCCTGCTTCTTCAGGATGAGGGATTCCCCCACTCCTTGCCTTAGACTTGGACTTAGAGAGTTGAAGGGGCCTGGAGTTATGACTACACACAAAACTCTTCATAGATGATGAAGCAGACCAGGGTAGTCAAGTTATGTGACCTCCAGGTTTCCTGACTTCCAAGCCAATGTTCTCTCTCGACATCATGTGAACTCTTACTGCATGCAGAGCTAGCTAAAACAGGTATTGCATGGGTTAAATGGGCTTTGGCAGGCTAGCCTGGGAACCTACTATTTACTACAGTTTCTCTGAGAAAACGAATTCGGAGTTTTGCCTGAGAATTCAGAACATATTTTCAACCTCCTACTCTTCTTTTCACCACCCTGGTGAACACATTAGGAATGTGTTCATTCCTGGCCATTAGGAATGAATGAGGAAGGCCATGTTGTCTTCTTAATAACACACTTGGAAATAAACATAACACAACTTATTGATAAAACTGAAGCAAATGTTTATATAGGCAGATTCCTCAAATTTGAGGATTAATTGTTAGGATGAGTCTTTTAGAGTTATCCAAATTAGCCACTTGTCTTTCTTAGAAATAAATCTGTTACTAATGCTTCCCCAGCCAACCAGCTGCAAAAGCACACATTATTCTTTGAAAGAGGAGCACAGAAAACCAGCTTACTTCCTGGGGCCTATGGGAGAGGAATGTGAAAATCCCAGCTATTGGGGTGATACAGGACAGGCCAGGACCTCTCCTTTTTAATAACAAAGCAAAATAAAGGGGTGGGGATAAGGGCGAAGCTTTTAGATTGACTTGGAAAAATACTCGTTGAAGTCATTTACATAGTATCACTTTGCCTAATTATGACAAACCATTGGGGATTACTCACCTCATTAGATATGTCAAGTTCAATTATTTGATTGCAACAACCAACCTCCTGTTCATAGTACCTAAGTCTTCATACTTTGTTGCTTATATACTTGGGTTATGTGCTCACAGGTTTTAATATAATGTAAAGGAACAGTGCTCACCTAGAAACTGGAGGACAATGTACCTCGTACAGTTAGAGGCAAAGGCAATGACAATGAATATGACTAATTATTTTACTTCCTATTGCACCAGCTTGTAAAATCTTGGGGAAGGATGGCGACAGCAGAGCTGCCTCCCAAAGCATCATACAGGAAACTTTTTCATAGTTTCTTTGGACACGTTGTTATAACATAGTTTGTGATCCTCATTTTATTAAAATCCATGGTTTTGTTACATAATGTATTCTGAAAAATATATATACAAAAGTTGGGTAGTGGAAGTTGAACAAATCTGTATTATAATGGGTGGTTCTTTATCTAGAAAATGACAATTTTTTTTTACCTCATCATCAGAGTTTCTTTGATAACACACAATAGCAGTGTTTCATCCAAATTTTTTCATTTTCTTCTTTTACTTTTACACATGACCAATCATTTTGGATGTTCAATGAACACCTAGTGAGGGTTTAAGACTTGCCATTTTTGACTTGACACTCCTGATCACCTCCATCCATATCTCAAGTATATCACATTAATGAGACCCAGGTTTCTCAATAGCACTTTCAATTTTATGTTTTCCACTTGTTTTCACATATGCAGTAAGATATTCCAGTATTGCACAAACAAGGATGTGCATATAAAGATGCTGACATCATGTTATTGATTTAAATGTTGGTCAATCAGAGAATGCACAAAAATATAAATCTGGCATCCAAAACAAGGATTAGAGGTATTGAATATTTTAAAAGTATAGCTTTTATCAAAATCAAGTGTGGCAAATACGGAGACTGCCTATAAATAACAGGGAGGGCAACCATACCAACACGCTAATGTCTTGTTCTCCTTTTACCTCACATTTCCTTCTTTCTCCCAAATCAGTGACAAGGAGAGTAAAGGGGCCATTGCAGAGTGGCTACTATGTGCCAGGCATAAGGTAGGTAATTTGCATAAACACACACACTGTCTTTCTCTTTTTCTTTTATCCTCACCCAAGGATATGGAGAGAGAGAGAGAGAGAGAGAGAGAGAGAGAGAGAGAGAGAGAGAGAAACATCAATGTGAGAAACATTGATCTGTTGCCTCCCTTACATGCCCCAAATGGGGATCGAACCCACAACCTATGTATGTGCCCTGACCTGGAACCGAACCTGCAACCTTTTGGTGTATGGGACGATGCCCCAACCAACTGAGCCACCCAGCCAGGTGCACAAACACTCTCTTGATGGTCATGGCCAATAGTGTATTTTATGTCAGAAAAAAACAACAACCAAGATCTCAGAAGCTATTAACTTCAATAGTCCTTGTTGCTGGACTGAGGAATGAGATCGAAAAAGAACCTTTCATTATTAAAAAAGAACCCAATAAAACTGTACTAAATGATCTTTAATAGTGTGGCTTTTATACATCTGTGTGGACAGAGAATAATTTCCTGGAAAACCACAAGATTTCTGACATTTTTAAAGAACTAGGTCCAATACTAATTTTATTATATGGTTAAATATCAAATTAAGGACCTATGTTTTGAAGGTAGATTGATGTGGCAGGAACTCAAAATTAATGACATACTTTAGGCTCTATATTCTCTGCACAAACAGATTTCCCAAGCCCAGTGGTAATAATAGGTGTATAAGGAAATAACTATTTCTGCTTTAGGTTCTTCCTTCCCCTTCGGACCCCTTAGCAGAGAAAATGCCAAGGACCCCCCTCTCTCTTTATGGCCAGAACTAAGACCTATAAAGACGGCAGAGCAATAAATGGGGTCCCTGGAATCCCAAGCTTCTGGTCCCAACCACTAATAGATGCTCCTTGGCAGCATCACTTTTTTGAAAGCACACTGAAGTGTTAATGCCAAGTTTGGGGGGAAATACATGGTAGTTCCATACCTGGGAGATCATGGAAGAAAGAAACTTCTGGAGGACAAGTGTCAGTCACTGACTGAATTTCTACATCTGGGCACTTCTTGAGGGAGAGGGTTTGGCTATTTGGAGATGGAAAGTGTGGTCCCCTGGAATTGGCAGGCCCAGGTTCTGAACTGCCTCTTCCTCTAGCCAACCAAACACTCTCAGCTCCAGACTTCGATGGATCCTCAGCTTTGACCTCTACATAAGGGGAGACAGCACTAAAGGCTTTTTCAGATTATTGCCTGTGACCAGCCCTGGCATTTACACACCCTCCTGCATTTGATTGCAACACCAGCCTCCTGTTCACAGTCTCTCAGTCTTCATACTTTGTTATGTACATAGTTGGGTATCTGCTCACAGGTTTTAATACAAGATGAAGGAACAGTGCTGGCCTGTTCAACAGAAAAGTTGAAGCATCATTTAAAAATCAGGGTATGTCTTCTTACTTGAATACTGTAAGTACTAAATCATAACCACTTGTAGAAATTAGTCTGGATTAACAAATAAGTAAGGCCTAATATAAATGCATTTCAGTAAAATCACTTGTAATGCACATTTCTAACCAATCTTTCAGGCTTCCGACATGTCAAGTTAGAGGTAAGGATCCCAATTAAGTCTTCATCCTTTTGGCAAACAAGGGTATGGATCAATATACTTGGCAATGGTGACTGAAGTCCTTAGTTTTTCCCTCCTCCATGCCTTAATAATATCTTCTTTAAGGAAAGCCCAAACCAGCAGGGCTGCAACAATATCAGTAATGAGAGTGGGTCTCAAGGTCAGCAGTCATGCCATAAAACGTAACATGAAGACATCATTAGCAGGCTGGGAACTGCTCGTCTCAAAGTCCTGGAGTAGGCAGCTTCTAGGAGGTGGAATCAACGACCTCTGCGTGGAACGGGCGGAGGAGGATGGAAGATCTCCCTGGTTGGAGGCCTGAAATGAAAGATAAAGCAAAAGCATGACCTTGCAGACCATGATGTGAACAGGCTTTCCTATGTCAAACACTGCGAATGAGAAAGTATTTGTCTCTCCAAGTTGAAAATGCACCGTAACAGTTTGGTGATTACCAGAGGGGAAGGGGGCTGGGGAGAGGGAGAAAAGGGAAAGAGGGGATGAATGGTGATGGAAGGAGACTTGACTTCGGGTGGTGAACACACACAATACAATATACAGATGATGTATTGTGGAATTGTCACCTCAATAAATTCAATAAAAATAAAAAAGAAAATGCACCGTGATATTTATTGGAATCATTCTCATAAGGAACTATGCTATGTGTATAATTGTAATAGATACTTTTATTTGAGAGGGAAGAGTCTTTAACCTTTGTAATTACTGCATAATAATTTTTTAAAAGAGAGATAAAGCAACTATTTAAAAATGAATTTAATTAAGTAGTTCTTATGCATCCATGATTTGCTGTAAATTTGGTCCCTTATACAGAGGACATGTTCCTTCATTAATGAAACTGGCCACACATAGGGACCTCTGAGTGACATACATGTTGGCTGTGGCTCACCACCCTCACTGCACATTAGAATCACCAGTCGAGCTTTGGAAAATACCAATCCCCAGGCTCTATCCCAGACCCATTCCATCATAATCTCTAGAGGATTGGGCTCAAGCATCAGAACATTTTAATAGTATCTCTCCCCCAACCAGTTGTATTATCCAAGCCTTTCGTTTTCTGATGCTTTTATACCTGGGGCCTTGCTGATCTGGGCCTGAACAGGCTGCCCCTCGGTGGGTAAACTAATTCCTAGAGCTAGTAAACAATGTGCCTGGGAGCACACCTTTCACAGTACCCAGAACTGGAGCGGGGACTATCCACCCGCCCTAACCACCTCAGGGCGAGGTGCCTGAGAACTGGAGGCAAGCCCTTTGCTCCAGGCCTGCTGAAATTACTCAATCTAGTCAATTCTAAATCTGCTAACCACCTCACTTGTTCCTTCCTGTGGAAACCACAACAAAAGCTCCTCTCACCTACGTTTTCCCCTCCCATTCTCCTGACTAAACCCAGTGGCGCCCCTGCTTAGGATCTGTGAGTATAACAAACTGTCTTTTCAACAGCAGTCATCCCTGATCTGTTGACCTTGCCATACCTGAATAATGACAAAACCTTTATTTTAAAACACCAGGAATTCAAATATGCAGCCAGGCAGGAGACACACTCTAGCAGGAAGGTCCCTTGAGAGAAGAATTGAGAATTTCCGGTCTGCTCCTCACAATGACTTCCTCAGGGATTACTAAATGTGTTATCCCAACGCCACATTTGCTTTCCTAAAGCCCTCTCCCTGTTATTCGGGATGGCTTTTGAATAGTCTTAAATGACACTCCAGAGAGACTTGGGTAAGTCCTTTTACAAACAGGTTCAACGATTGCGGGTGGTATTTCCACATTTGTGCTCTAGAACTAATATCAATTCTCTTGGAAGCAAGTCAATAAGTCAAGAAAGAAAGCTTTGTCAGGTGCTGCAATTGAACTGTGTTACCCTGGAGTTGCGTACTTGAGGATTAAATGAATCAATGAGTAAATATTTACTAAATGTCTTTTGAATGCACGTTTTGTATAGGTCAAGGAAATGACAAAAATGTTTAAAGAAAGGCTCTCTCAAGAATGACAGAGCGAGGCAGAAGTAGGAAAAAATAACCACAGATATCCTCAGGAGGTCCTGCTGTGGCCCCTGGGAGTAGCTGGTTTTATGTGGTTGTCTCTTTATCCAGAGAAAACAAATGAGTAAATCCCCTTCCATCTCCCCAGTCTACCCTATGAACTGTGGCTTATAAAACAAATGGGTAAATCCCCTTCCATCTCCCCAGTCTACCCTATGAACTGTGGCTTATAGGAGAAATCCAGACCTTCTTTCCCTCCTTCCTTCCCTTCTTTCCTCTCTTTCTTCCTTCAGTTCCTTCCTTCCTTCTTACCTTCCTTCCTTCTTTCCTTTCTTTCTTCCTTCTTTCCCTCCTTTCCTCTCTTCCTTCAGTTCCTTCCTTCCTTCTTACCTTCCTTCCTTCTTTCCTTTCTATAATAGATAAATATTTATCTATTATCCATCTACTCCTGGATATGGGATGAAATAACAGCAAGTAAAATGGGCACAGATTCCATACTCAAGGTGCTGAGAATGTAATAGATGAGAAAGACAAGGAAAGTCAGTACACTACTGAGTGTTTTGACCAGGGAAGTCATAACCTATGGGAACATATAGCAGAGACATTTATGCACATGTCTGAAGGACAAGTTCAACTTCCCTGAACCTACCAAACAGAGGTAATGACACCTTCATTGGAATCTTTTGTGAGGATTGGAGATAACTATTGGAAAGAGGATAGCACAGTTTCTGGCTTAGAGTAGGCACTCAAGAAGTAAAGCTAATTATTTATCAATATAATTAAAGATCTACTCTTAGCTCTTTTCCCTATGTATGCTCTATGAGCCTTACTTTTATCTTCCACCACGAAGATCATCATGACTCCCTCCTGGCCCCACTCTGCAACTGGGGTGGGTCGGCAAACAAACCATCTCTAAATTTCATTCTGGTGAACAAGCCCAGCGAAGGTTTGGAAGTCCCATCTCAGGGAAATGGACTTGTGATTTTAAACATCTCAGAACCATGGGAGAAAAGAAGTATTAAACCAACCAAGAGTGGCCTGTGGGGAGACAGCCTCTGCAGGACCCTGGGAAGCCAGGGCTGGAGACACGATTGTCCAGAGATACTGGGCACTGGTTGCTTTCTCCTCCCTGTTGAGGGTTGAAGTCTCAAAGATAAGCTTAGTTCAAGAACCAAGCAATCTGATATTGGTTAACATTCTTTTAAAGCAGCACTGCTGTTTAGCTGGTATCATTTTGTATGGTCATAACATTGGTAAAAATATATATTTTTAAAGTTTCTCTATTAATTAGTAAATAGCCTTGGTCTCAAGTCCCCTCACTCCCTGACCACTTCAGTCCCTGCTGGAAACTCCACAGGCATCTTTATAAGTCCAGTTTTAGGATTAACCTCGTACTGCAGGAGTCCCCAGAAGTGTGTTCTGATTAGGTGGTATGTAGGCTATGCCTTAAAGGCGACTTCATAGATTGTTAGTGACTGTCAAATCACTAGTAAATGACATAATAAGTTCAAAAACAAAGGGGCAATGGCTCAGCAAGTATTTGTGTGTGTTTTTTTCTCATCTGGCAGGACCTTACCTTAGAAGAGATGGCATTGCCAGGGACCCACCCTATAGGGACTAAGGAGCCATGCAAAGATAAAGTGCATCTATTTGTCCCTGCTCTTGTCACATCTGCCTTCCCTGATCTTGAAATATGCTGGGAACTTACAACAGGTGGGAGTGTGAAGCCTCTTTCCAGTAACCTATAGTCCACCTGTGGTAGATGACTTGAGACTAACTGTTTCATCCAAACTAACCAGTACCAGTCCATGCATCCATCCATTCATTCATTTACATGGTAAATATAAATATTTGTTAAATTTCTAGTATGTTCTGGTTACGATGGTAAGCATGGAGAGAGTAGAAAAAAAATTTTTTAATAAAAAACAGTTTCTATTCTCTCGAGGTTCACCATCCACTTGAGGAGACGGATATGTAAACATGGGCCACAATGTGGAATGAAGTGTAATAGAGGTGTTTGGGGAATCACAAGAAAGTTCACCCAAGAGCATCAAGGAAGGCTCCAGAGAGGAGGTGATATTTGGACTGAGTCTTAAAAGATGTGTCAGAATTTCCTAAGCAGAGATTGAAGACAGCATTTCAGGCAAAAGGAGCAGATTGAACAAAGACATGGTACCAACTGGCACAGCTCCCTGGGAAATTTTAAGGGGTGGAGCCTTGGTGAGTACAGCAGGGGGGTGGGACTTAAGGCTAGATGGAGACTAGAGCTTGCTAAAAAATACAGAATTAAATGTGAAAGCGTATATGCCAGGAAGTGACATCCTCAGCTATTTCTGTTCTGGAAAGTGCACTCTGGTTGAGTGTGGAGGAGGGACCGACTGCAGGCAGAGAGGTAAATATGGGCCTATGTGGATGAACTTAGGTACCAGCAGATGGAGAGGAGGGGGCGCATCTGAGAGCTGAAAGGGCAGCAGAATGGACAGGGCCTGGAGACACACTGGATGTGGGAGCTGCGAGGGAGGCAGGAATGGAGTTAAACTAAGTTGAGGCACATGAATGTTAATTAATTCAGCCAAGTTCACAAGTGACAGCCAGAGGAGACCTGTCTCAGGTAGCGTGGTACTAGAGCCATGCTCCTCGCCACCATACCATGCTGCCTCTCACCTTAATTTTCATTCCCAATTCCATCTTGCCTCCTGGTTCCCAAAAGGCACTGTCTCCATAATACAGCCAAGGGAATTAGTTAGTAGGGAGCTAAATTCTAATAAAATAGATACAAATTATTCAAAAAGTTGATGTTTGCCAATGTATTTCATCGATGAAATATTCCATTTGCTACTAAAAGTGTGTGCAACTGAATACAGCGTCACTTAAATTAATGAAGCGTCCACACTGAAATATGACAAAAGCAGGCACTCATTCTTAGGTCATCTTAGATGCCCCCAACTCCTCCTCTCCCCTGGGATTTATCTTCCACCACGAAGATCATCATGATTCCCTCCTGGCCCCTCTTCTCTCTGATGCCCTACTCTGCAACTGGGATGGTCGACAAACAAACCATCTCTAAGTTCCATTCTGATGAACAACTTAAACAGGATTCAGAAAGTGAGGGGAAAACTTTCCTATCAGCTTCAATGTTACCTCTGTGAGGCCGCTCGGGGAGGCACCCTGGGGGGCCTATCGATGGGCAGGGTGGGTGTTCCGTCCACTTGTAGGGGGCCTGGACTCCGACTTCTGGGAACCTCAGGGACTTCATTATCCTACAGTAACAAAAACACAAGAAGGATTGGTGAAAATTACATCCAGCAACCAGCATGTTGAAAGTTCCCAGCATATTTCAAGATCAGGGAAGGCAGATGGACAGATACCACTATCCCCAAAGCCCCTCAGCCTCCTCAGGCTTTGGCTGAAGGTTATTCACAAACTTATCATCAACCCAGCAAAACCGGGGAAGCTTTCCATTGACTCCTGGAGCCGCTCAGGAGACAATCAGGCCCACAGGATCATTAATGGTCCTTGCTATTCAAAGCACAGTCTCTGGGCCATCGAGGTCAGCATCACCTGGACGCTTGTGAGAAATGACAGGATCTCAGGTTCCTCCTCGGACCTGCTCAATCAGAACTTGCATTTTAACCAGATCTTAGGCAATTCTTTTTTTTTTTTAATATATTTTATTGATTTTTTACAGAGAGGAAGGGAGAGAGATAGAGAGTTAGAAACATCGATGAGAAAGAAACATCGATCAGCTGCCTCCTGCACATCTCTTACTGGGGATGTGCCCGAAACCCAGGTACATGCCCTTGACCGGAATCGAACCTGGGACCCTTCAGTCCGCAGGCCGACGCTCTATCCACTGAGCCAAACCGGTTTCGGCCTTAGGCAATTCTTATGCATATTAAAGTTTGAGAAGCACTGCTCTATATAACCAGATAGAGCTGGAGAATTTTTATTTTTAAATAAAAGCCCCTTTGGGGGACAACAGAACCATCATAGGGTAAAACAAGCTGTGCACTGAAGGGGTGGCCCACTCCTAGGACCCTTTCTCAGGGGGTCTCCTGGGCGATCCTTTCCCATGTGACCCCTTCCACTTGTCGCAGCCCCTGGTCCCTGAGTCAGAACCATAAGCCAAATTGGGCCTCGGCCTAAGTCACCCAGCTAATCCCTGCTAGGAGGTCTTGTGGCTCTCAAGGGACTAGTTGCCACTCTACCTGTGGAGGCAGAAAAGGCCAGGGAGCTTTGAGAAAAGAGAGCAGATATGCACAGAGAAGTAGAGACGATAGAGCTTGTGGCCCTGAGAAACACAGACTGGTGGCATTGGCTCTAGCATCTCGCCACTCCTGATCTAGGCCCCAAACTGTGATCACTGTCCCTGATTCCCTGAGACTCATCTAGCTCCTTCTCATATGCCCCTTTGGCTTAACTAGCCTGAGTGGATTTCTTCCCTTCCTCCCTTCTTTCTTTCCTTTCTTCCTTCTTTCCTCTTTTTATTGAGATGAAATTCTAAACGTAAATTAAATCATTATAAAGCCAGCAGCTCACAGTGGCATTTAGTATATTCACAATATTGTCCAACCACTAACTACCTCTATCTAGTCCCAAATCATTTTCATCACCCCCAAAGGAAACACTGTACCCTTTGAGCCGGTTCTGCTTGTTTACCCCTCGCCCCAGCCCCTGGCAACCACCAATTTGCATTCTGTCTCCATGGACCTATCTATTCAAGACAGTTCATATAAATGGAATCCCATGATATGTGATCCTTTGTGTCTGGCTTCTTTCACCTAGATTTCTATTTCTTGCAATAAAATGACCCCTAGGACAGGACAGATGGGGGTCTCGGCTCTCACTCACCTCATTGTCCCCCTCCATCCCGCTGCTCACACTGAGGAGGCTCCGAGTGCTGGATCGGTTACTCGTGCTGCCTGAAGGGTACAAACAAAATTAGCAGGACCTTAGATTCTCTCAGGCTAAAATACAATGCACAACTCTAGCACTTACTTTTTTTTACCGACAGCAACAATACACAAGCTGTGAATATATGTGTCTTCAAATGTTGCTGTCTTATACCATTTTACTAGAGGTCAGTTTTTCTTTCAGTATAAAACAAAATGGTTCACCTTTTTATTACATATTTTGCTTTATAGCTACCATTTACGGAGGCTTCCCACACATTATCCTATACAGTGGTTCTCACCCTTCTTAATGCCGCGACCCTTTAATACAGTTCCTCATGTTGTGGTGACCCCCAACCCATAAAATTATTTTCATTGCTACTTCATAACTGTAATTTTGCTACTGTTATGAATAGTAATGTAAATATCTGATATGCAGGATGTATTTTCATTGTTCTCGACCCACAGGTTGAGAACCGCTGCTATATAATAAAAGGCTAATATGCAAATCAACCAAACAGCGGAATGACCGGTCGCTATGATGTGCACTGACCACCATGGGGCAGATGCTCAATGCAGGAGCTGCCCCCTGGTGGTCAGTGGGCTCCCACAGGAGGAGCGCTGCTCAGCCAGAAGCCTGGCTCACAGCTGGCTAGTGCAGCGTCGGTGGTGGGAGCCTCTCCCGCCTGCATGGCAGCGCTAAGGATGTCCAACTGACGGCTTAGTTGATGTCCCAAGCCATCAGCTGGACATCCCCCAAGGGCCCCCGGACAGCAAGAGGGCCAGGCTAAGGGACCCCCCAAGTGCACAAATTTTGTGCACTGGGCCTCTAGTGCGCTGAAAATGCTATGTGGTACTAGTGCTCTGATTTGACAGACAGGGAAGCGGAGATGCTCTACTTCTCACTTGTTTGGGCCACTTCTGAAAGCTGCAAACAAATTTTGTTGAAGTTTTCTACTTAAATTATGTCAAACATGTGCATGTATCACATTGTGCAATCCAGAGGGAATGTGGGCAAGCAAGTCATCAGCCTGCAGAGGGTGAGGGCCTCAGCCTCCCTCATAAATGAATGGTCCTTCAAGCCACTGTGTTTGGGGTGGTGTGTTACATAGCAATAGGTAACTGAAACTGTGTAACAGAGACCAGATGCAGTCTATAGCCACAGGGTAGGGTAAAATCCATCAGTGTCATTTACTAATATTTTCTAGCCAGATGAGCTAGCCATCCCTAGGTTATAAATGGTAAGAAGCACCGTTTATGTTTTCCATTCTGTTCCTACCCCAAAGTAACTCAGAACACATGCATAAAGTCTTTAAAATTAATCTGTACCTGAACCGAGGACTTTGCCTTTGTCTTGTTAAATTTCCCCTCTCCCTACCCTACAATGACTGCCCTCACCCTGAGAAGGTTTATACCACTTCTGTCCTCCAAAGCATCTGAGAGATGAGCCACGTGGCCCTTGCTTCCTCCATCACTTATAATCACTGAAAAAATCTCTCTCATTTCTGAACTTGTCAGAATTCTCTAAATTGCCTTAAGGGAATTTTAGATACACATGATCACCCTCCATAATGTAAGGGGAAGTTCTCTCTGTCCAGTCTAGATTCCCATGTGGTCATGTGATATGCTTTGGGTCTGTTTTGACAGGTAACAGTGGCAGGAATGTTAACCTGAGAGGAGCTGGATTCCACTCCCATTTGCCACTCGCTGGCTGTGTGACCTTGGGCAAAACTCTTTCCTTTTCTGGGTTACAAATACTCTATCTATATAGTAAGGAGTGAGACTAGTTCAGAGGTTCTTGACCTAAAAGTGAGCAAAAGTGTGTGTGTGTGTGTGTGTGTGTGTGTGTGTGTGTGTGTGTGTCTGTGTGTGTGCGCGTGCCGCGCGGGCCGCAAGCATATGCATTTTTCATAAAGTGCATCGAGAGCAGG